AAAGGAAGCGCCATACATCATACGTTGGGTTAGGGCACTACCGTCGTCTCTTCTCCTTTTTAGTTTTCTTATTACTCAAGAAAAAAGCCTCCGAAACCCAGTTGAAGGAAGGCAGGCAAGGGGGAGCTGCGGAAAGTAATGGCGAACAAGAAGCAGAGGAATGGGGAGCAGAAGCAGAAGAAGGGGGACCAGAAACAGAAGAAGGGGGAGCAGAAGCCGAAGCCGAAGCCGAAGCCGAAGCCCAAATCCATGGCATCTGCAAACTCGGGCGGTCTAATCACACAGACACTCGAGCGATTTGGCTTGTCCAATGACGAAGGTAATTAGGAAACCATGACCCCAGGTTGAAAAGAACAGGAAGATGAAGCTTTTCAATTGCTTTTCTGTCGTTTTCCAATGTTTTGATATTTGGCTGTGGGTGATTGCTTTGAGCTTCAAGACGGGGACTGTTCTTTGGCTATGTTGGTTGCTCAAGGAGTAGTTGCTCAGGGCATTGAGATTGCTTTTGAGTTTTAGCTTCGTAGGATATCTGGTTTGGTGGAGGACAATTCAATAGAGAGAAAACAATTATCAGTAGTTATAAATTCTTCGATGATTACAGCATCGGTTCTTTTTCACTTTGAAACAAGTTTTGCCAATAGTTCAAAATGGAAAAGAAAGGCAGCTAGATGATCCGTGCTTTATTCGGTAGAAGGTGAAACTTGCGAACCAGAGATTTTATGCCTGTTCAGAGTTTTTACAATATTTCAAAATGAAAAAAAAAGGCAACTAAGTAGTCATTGTACTCTATCTCTATAGTATATCATTCTCACATGTCTTAAATTTCCTAGCTATTTGTTTTTTCTCATGTAGTATTTTTCTCCCATGTACTAATGTTGGAGTCTGTTATTATCTGTTTCTTTCTTAATTAGTAAGTTTTTGGATGTTTCATGCAGTTTTCACTTTTGAAGCTGATCTTTCGAAGCGTGAACGCGCTCTAGTGCATGAAGTGTGCAGGAAAATGGGTATGGCATCAAAGAGTTATGGGTAAGTGTCAATTAGCAATTTCTCTTGAGTTTAGAACGCATCTAGTCATATATAGGTAACTTCATATTCTTGGAAGGAAAAAACTCCCGAGTTTAGGAGGCATATAATCACATATTTATAACTTAATATTCTTCAAAGGAAAATTCTTCTGTGCATCTACAAGTTCTCAGGCGTCTGGAATATTTTGCTTTAGGTTTCTCATTTGCTAAATCTTTTTGTAGGCATGGAGACCAACGTCGTGTTTCCGTATATAAATCCAAACTGCAAATGGAAACCATGAAATTTTCTGAAAAGACAAAAAGTGTTTTGGACGATTTATTTAGTAGATATCCTCCTGATGATGGAGAATTGGGTACAACTGGAGAGCAGAATAAAAAGGCTGATAAACAAAGGCGAAAGAAAGATGATATTTTCTTCAGGCCCTCAATGAACAAGGAAGAGATAATGAAGAAAGTGGAATCATATGCTGCTAGAGTCGAGAGTGTCGCGAATCTGAAAAAGGTTTCTTTGAGTAAATGAACAAAAGTGATGAAGTTTACTGGTTTTATGCTGTACCTTCATCTCTCTCTCTTTTAGTTCTT